TAAAGGTTCTTTGTATTATGAACGAGTTGAGCGGGGTTCATTATTTTCATGGTAGATGCGAAAATGCTTTCAGTTTAACATGTTCCTCTATTTTGCTATATCTTCCTTACCTTTCCATTTCAAAAGAAACTGTTAAATGTAGATTCAACGACAACTTTCTTTTGTAAATCAACCTTCTTTTGTAACTTAAAAAATATATTTAGCTATTGCATGTAATAAAATAAAATAAAACCCCATGTCTAACTGGGAAACATTAAAACTTACAAATATTATTTCCTATGGATTTAAGAGTGGATTTTAGATAAACCTAAAAGTGGATTTTAGAAGCGTAGTTGAAATCATTTTGTCAAAATAGGAGCAACTGCTGTCATTGTTTTGCCAAGTGACAATCTAATTTTATATGACTCAGCAATAAAATTTTTATAACTCTTCCAGACAGAATTTCTTAAAACTGTTTTAATATTAATGCTCTCTTGCCAAGTTTTATTTCATCCTTAACTATCCCAAGAACTTCTAAAATTAGAGTACAGTTATGCATACACCAGGTTTGAGGTCAAATATGAAAATAAGAACCCAAAGAAAACAAGATTTGAAACTAAATTCAGATTTTAATTTAACATAAAGTATTATTCATGACAAGTTTTCTAAGATAGAATGAACTAGTCTTTAAAAAAAAAAAAAAACCTCCACTTTTAGAAATGTTAAACATTTATTAACTTTCTTATTGGGAGCACTTTTCCTGGTTGTAATAAGAATATGCACAAATAACCATACTTGTTGATTTCTGAATATTAACAGTCCCAAATTCAAAGTGTTTTTTTCCCCTATACAGGTCAGGTACTGTTTTAAAATAAATTATTTTTAATTACAAAGTCCTAGTACCAATATATATATCTAAGAAGTGTATTACCATTTACCTGTAATAACAAACATGTGTTTTGATATTTTTATTATAAAAACTGAGTTTTCAATGAAGGCAGTTTAGAAGGACTGTCCTTGAGAAAATAAGTTTGAAATAAGCAGTCCTTTAAACTAAAAATCATGGCAGAATAATATGTCAAGCAAGTGAAAATCTTTCTGTGATACATACATATTTTCATGTAAACAAAAGCAAAGACCAAGAAAAATGTAAATATCTTTGTTAGCAACCAAAATACATGGATTTGAATAGCTTATTTTCTCTTTTCACGCTTCCGTTAAATGAGACTGGCATAAAGAGAGCAGTGGGGATCTGATGACTTTACATTCCCCTCATCCTCTTCAGGAGGTTCCATACCATAGACACCTCTCCGGGAAAAGATATGAGAGGAATGAGGCTCCAGAAAGTCATGACTTTCAAATATTAAGTCCCTCTTTCTTCTCTCCTGTGAAACGAGATGGTTTATCAGAGTTGTGCCAGCTGAAAGAAGGTAACTTTATTACTGGTGCGATCCAGCACTAAAACACGTGGCAGCAAATTAGGCACAACGATGAGTAGATTTTCCTCCGGATTCAGATTACCCATGCACTAAAAGATAATGGCTTCCAACACAAAACAAGCATTTTTGAACAAAACAGACAATATTGAAATGGGTATATTTTTCGACAGAAATGATTACTGAAGTATGCCCGTTGGACCACCTGCATCAGAACTGGGAAGGGTATCCACAGAATAAAAGTGTGCATCCCTGGGCCCAATGCCAGACACTCGGGAGGCCCTGGGCATCTGTGAATGCCCCCCTGGGAATACTTAGATACATATTCATATTAAAGCTTGAATATCACTACTCCAAACTATAGGGGATTTCTTTTGACCACACATATTTCACTATGTCTTTCATGCTTCTTACTTATTAGCCAGAAGAAAATTGAAAACAAAAACAGTTCTGATTATGTCAGTCAGTGGTGATAATTAGTAGTGGTATTTATTTTCCCCTCAAGAAAATACAGGGGAATAGGCAACATAGGAGTCTGCACCTAATTTTTTCAAAGGTACTCCACAGTACTTTTTTTTAAGCTTTCAAATTGTATACATAATAAAAAATGTTCAAAATGGTTTGTAAACTGTCATCTGATCAAGATTATCCAGTGTAAAGAGAGCTGCTGATCGGTGTTGCTCAATTCTCACAAAGGCCCCTTTCTTTCTTCTTTCTTCTTCCACAAACACCGAGCATCTCAGCAGGCAGTCCAGAGCTCTTACCATATGATGCACTGCCTAACAAGCAGCACAAAAGTACCTAAGGATTGCTCATAAAAAAGGACAAAGAAAGCCAAAACTCAGTCTCCACTCCAAACAAAAAGCAGTCTCAAGACCTACTGCCAATATATATATATATATATATATATATATATATATATATATATATATATATATAGTAAGATGAATACAGAGCATGCTTACTTTCCTTAGAGAAAGTCTAATTTCAAACACACTTATTAATATCTGCTTGAAATCCAGTTGAAAATGGAAAGCATGATACACTTCAATGTGCTACTAGTATCTACTATAGCGTTTATATTCTGTAAGGACCCTATAGAAACAACAGTTTTACTTGTGGATAATAGAAGTAGAAACCAAAGAGGTAGGTGACTATCATCACCAGATGATCCCAAACCAACATGTTAAATAATATGCTCACGTCTGAAATAAAGTTCAACTGGAAGATGAGTTCCAACACTGTTAACAATTGCAAGAGCAGGGTTTCCCAGATCTTTAGTGGTGTCATCCAACTTTGGAAGTCCCAGCTCCTGATCCTGTGCCACATGCTCTTCGGATGGTCCATGTTAAGAAATGGCTAATGGAATGAAATGTAAAGAAGTAACACTGGGGACCAAAGAGTAAGCCAAAGGCAACGGGGCTCTTCACACATCTCCACACTCACATGGAGGGAAGCGCATTACAGTTGGGCCAGACCTTAAGATTCATCTAATCCAACTCTCTGGCTGTACAACTGAAAAAAAACACAGAGGTACACAAAACACTACAATTCCAAAAAGATGCTATAAATAAAAAAAGTTCATGGTGCCGAAACCAGTTTGGCTCAGTGGATAAAGCGTCGGCCTGTGGAATGAAAAGCCCCGGGTTCGATTCCGGTCAAGGGCACATACCTTGGTTGTGGGCACATCCCCAGAGGGGGGTGAGCAAGAGGCAGCTGATCGATGATTCTCTCTCATCAATGTTTCTAACTCTCTATCCCTCTCTATTCCTCTCTGTAAAAAATCAATAAAATATACCGGTTAAAAACAAAACAAACAAAAAAAGTTCATGGTTTGCTTATCTATCTATAAAGCGCATCATGTAGCCACAGGGCTGCACTTCAGCCCCTATAGCTTCCTCTGCAGCGCCAGCCCTGTCAGCTACTGTATCAAGTGTATCAGTGGCTCCAGGAAGAAGGGGACCAAAGGATCTGGATGCACCAAGGGGGTTAGATCATCAGCAAGAGAAAAATAGTTTGAAACCCCAGACTAGCCCTATTACAACGTGCTCTGCGCTTGGACCAAAGGCTCAGCTCTGCTTCTACATAGGACACTCACTTCGGAGCATATTCACCAACCCCAGCTCTGCTAGAGGCAAGCATCCCTGGATCATTTAGAGACAGCTGGACCACTGGAAGCCTCCAAACCCACAAAGCCAAGACCCACACACAGCTGTACCGAACTTCTCCAGAACCGTCAGCCCTTTTTTGGTAAAGTGTCACCTTATTTCCTGATCGTCTTATTTATCTACGATTTTAACGTTCCGCTGTGAAAGGGTGCCTGTGTGATCTCATTTCATGCTTATACTTCCCAGACTTTGTGTTCGTTTCACATGTCTTTCGGTAACTTAAAAGAAGTCATTTTTTAAAAAAAGGTTTTATAGTCTTAAAAAATAAGGATATGCAAAGCCTCCTCTCGACGATGAAACGTCTGAAGCCGGATTTGTGTCTGCGTGGCACAGGGAGACAGTACAGCTTCGGGACTTCCACAGACATGCTGGGTCCCAGCTCTGGGACTAACCTCGGGCAGGACTTTAGTCTCTGAGACTTGCTTTCTTCATCTGTGAAAAAGGTAGAAATAATACCTACCTCACAGGATGCTGTGAGGATAAAAGGATACGTCGTGCCTGGCACATGGTAGGTGTACAATAGTGGTGGGTCCTTCTCCCTGCCGGACTCGGTGAGAATCCTGGAGGAAAAGGAGTCACCACAGCCCACACCAGCCGCTCCTCACTGCATCCCATTTAAATCTGCAAGAGTGTTCTGTCTTCTTGACTTTGCCCTATTGCTCTAAAGAGTTCTATTGTGCTTAGGAAAATATCTACATGTCTATGTTCTCTCCTTTAAAACTGTCCATGCAGATAAAACACTTTTTAAAACAATCTCTCTAGAAATGATAATGCACTATCTCCTAAAGCATAGCATGTCATGTATAAAAACAATTCTGAAAAAAAACATGACTGAATTCGTTTGTACATTATTTCCTAAAGTGCACCAAAGTAAATATTAACGACCTTTGAAATGTCACTAACCTCCTTGGGTTATTTCTTAAAATAAAAGTAAATATTTATCTACTGAGATGTATGTGGTTTTTGGCTCCAATACAATGGCAAAAGAGCAGCAGTGTTTTCCAGAAGAAAAAGAATAAACTCCACTAAGCACACCTAAGCAGCATCCCAAACACCGACAAAATTCAGTGTGACTGCAGGCTCAATAAAGCACAGTCCTGATTCTTACTTCCAAAACAAAATCAGCCAAAGATACAAGAACCATCTTCCCACCCTAAACAGTGGATTTCTGTTGAATCCTGGAGGTAACATCTGTGATCACTGCCCTCTTGTGTTTCCTTGGTAACAGAATTAAAACTAGTCACCATTCTTTCTTCATACTGCACACACCACACACACACACACACACACACACACACACACTTACACACACAAGCCTATAAAAAATGGGAACGTGTAAGTGGAAAAGCCATGTGAAAGGAAATTCAGAGTCCAGTAAAGAACAACCATCACACCAAATTTCAGGCAGTTCCCATATTCACACCACCGTCCGATGCTCCCCGCACACGTAGACGGCGCTGGGGCGTATCCGTCGCTTTGTGTGCCGAGGGAGCTGCGGTAAGAACTTGAAGGACTTGGGCATCATGTCCAGGCAGGCCTCGTGGAATTTCTTAATCCTCCAGTAGTAAATCAGCGGGTTCAATGCAGACTTGAGGTAGCAGAGCCAAAGCAGCCAGGTGCTAATCTCAAAGAAGTTGTGCTGATAGTAAAAGTGCTCATTGAACGTGGCCACAAGGCTGTAAGTGGTGAAAGGGGCCCAGCAGACGATGAAGACGGCAAAGAGGATCAAGATGGTGGTGAAGGCACGTGTTTTAAAGCCCATGTCGATGCTCATCTGGAAGGGCCTCTGCAGGCTCATGAGACCCAGTTTGCTGGCCTGGCTGAGGCATATGCCCTCCGGGTAGCTATGGATCCTCAAGGCGTTGTGCCTGAGCGTGTTGAGTATACCCATGAAGGAATACAGTATCACCAGAAAGGGTATGAAGAAAGAAATGAGAGAAATCAAAACCACGTAAGCCTGGTAACCTGGGTTGGTTGTGTACCCAAACACGCACTGGGGTGCTCGGGAAGGGACCTGCAGGTCAGGGTTGCCCACCGCCAACGGGAAAGCTATACAAAAGGAAGCTGCCCAAGACACTGCGATCAGAACCTTCGCCCTGTAGGGGTTGAGCTTGTCCTGCCTCTGGACTATGATAAGGAACCTGTCAATGCTAATGATGAGCAGGATGGCTACTCCCTCAATCACAAACAGCCAGAAAAACATGGCAGATATCCTACAGAAGAACTTCCCAAAGATCCACCTGGTAGTGAGGATAGTCACCAAGGCAAAGGGCATGCTCAGCACAGCGAGCAGCATGTCTGCGAACGCCAGGCTGGCCAGGAGGATGTTAATGGCAGAACGCATGGCAGCCTTTTGGTAAACCATGAGGCACACCACAAGGTTCCCAAGAAAAGACACACACAGGATAAATATCATGATAGCGGAAAGGATGATTTGCAGAGGCAGGTGTAGGCTCTGGTAAGCTGCTGGTGTTGGGGTTACAGCTGTGCTATTCACGGTCAAGGAACTCATCCCCGTGGGAGCCAGGGTGTCCAAATCGTATCTAAGCCCAATGCCAGGATGCTGGACTGGTGGTGGGACCGTGATATTCATGTACATGTTTTCATAGACTACGAACGTCGTGTTGGTGGCCCCCGTATGGGGCGCAGTCTGCGCTGCGGAGAGGACCATGGTTTCAGTGTGAAGGAAGGCGCTAGCAGCTCAGCGGGTGTTCTTCCAGCATCTCAGCACCCAGCAGCAGTTTCACGTTTCCCTGGCAGGCTTGGGAACAGGTTCTGGAAAACAGACAGCGTTCCATCTTCCACAGGAGTCCTTTTGCCTGAAAATAAGCCCAAAATATGGAAAGTAAATGAGAAATGAGCTTCATAAATAGCATTTGACTTCTTACCTTGCATCACGGAGGACCAGTTTGGCTTTCTTGAACCCTTCAAAAATATTTACATCTCTAGCTCAAGGTGCACTAAGATATTGTTGTCCTGTTGTTTTATTTTTAGTCAGCCATGACCGAAATTTCATGACACTCGTGTGTGAAGTGAAAGTGAAAAGAATGAAAACATATTCTCATTTCAAAGTCAAAAGTCAGAACCTTCCTTACTTTCTTTTAAATTTCCAGTAGCAACTTGGCCTTTCTACAGTCACTATTAATACAGGTATTATTATCTGGTTCTCCTGAGAGGACTAATGTTTTTCTTAATAGCTTTTTGGTACAGATTCATATTCTGTGTTTACGTGAGCACAAAACTAGAGGGGGGAAAACCTGAACTCCGTTTTCTACTCACCACTTTTATTATAACACCTTCCAGGTTATTTTCAATGGAAGGTCTGAAACAGTTTCCTGGCTTTCTATTTCTTTGTGCGTTTTTTCCCTAGAAATCTCACCATCACCACCTTGGAAAAGTTATTCAAAATGACTAGAAAAATTATATGTAAAAAAAGCAATGATCATATTTTCAAGACTTCTTTTCTCTTTTCAAAGCTTTCTTTATATTCTCATATTCCCTCTTTTTTCCCACGACTATCAACTTCCATCCTTTATTTGATGATACAAATAGTTCTATCTGAAAAGATCAAAGAAATTGGAATTTTTCTTTTTCCTTAAAACTTGTTAGAAGATGTCAACCAAATAATGAAGATGGAATCTCTAAAGGAGATGGCCATAAGAATATTCAGCAGTAGAGAATCTATTTCAGAAAACTTCCATATATTTGGTTATCTTACTCCAACAAGTTTCCAGTCACTTTTCTTACCCCCAACTTCTGAAACTCTGAAGTTTTCAAAACGGGATTTTATTAGTTTACCATCTTACTAGTCCATTTTTTGTGATATAGATTGTTCCTTCTTTATTGCAGAGATAAGTTCTTTAATTAGGAAGAATCCTCTTTGGATTTCTGGCTAGATTCCTTTAATAAATACCAAAGATTGGTGAGGAAATAAGTGCACAGAAGCATAAAATACACTATAACTTGCTCGTTATTTTGACTTAGAATTAGTCATTGATTTTAGGGGTAAATGTCGAATGTTCACTTATTCATTTTTTGGGGGTAGGGAGGGTGGAGGTATCCCATTTGACAGGCTTAAGATCCAGCATTGTAGATAAATCATTAGCTCTCTATCATACTTGTTTCTTTCTACAGTACCCTCTGTTGTCAAGGCTAAGAAAGGAGAGTATTGATCTGCTTGTTCAAAATATTAATTTTACTAGTTACTCTCACTTTCACAGCTTAATATCTTTGTTCCTACAAGATATTATCCATTTTCACTTTGAAATGCAAAATATACCTGGCTGAGATGCCACACTAAGCCAGTGACTCTCAAATTCTATTAACCACAAAGGGCCAATGGTAGTTAGGAAGCTATATATTATACCATAATCACCATATTTTCTTTAGAATTAACTAAATAAAGACTGTGCTTGCTACATAAATTAGCCTCAATACTATAAACAGACAAATGTGTATCATCAGCCTAAAATAACAGCTATAATTGTGCTTGACCAAATAAACAAACATCTATCCATCCTGAAATAGTACACACTTCATTTTTTATATTTTTATTAAAATATAATTGCATACAACATTAATTTCATTTCAGGTATACAACATAATGATTTGATATTTGTATACACTGTAAAATGATCACCACAATAAGACTAGTTAACATCTGTCATCACACAAAGTTAAAATTGTTTTGATTGTGATGAGAACTTTTAAGATTCTCTCAAATATGCAATGCAATAGTATTAACTATGGTCACCATGCTGTATATTACATCACATGACTTATACATTTTACAGCTGGAAGTCTGTACCTTTTGACCTCCTAGACCCATTTCAGCCACTCTCTACCCCCCACATTTGGAAACCACCAATCCATTCTCTTTATCTATGAGCTTGTGTGTGTTTGTTTGCTTCATTTTTAGAGTCCACATATAACTGAGATTACACTATACTTGTCTTTCTCTGTCTCACTTATTTCACTTAACATAATGCCCTCATGATCCAGCCATGTTGTTGCAAATAGCAAGATTTCATTCTTTCATTTGGCTGAATAATATTCTATTATGTGTATTTGAATATACATATACATTTATACATACATACAGACGCATGTATATACATTTTCTTTATTTATTCACCCATCAATGAGTGCTTAGGTTGTTTCCATATCTTGGTTGTTGTGACTAATGTTGCAATGGACATGGGAGCAGATTTTTTTATGTTATACTATTTTCTTTGGATAAATATCCAGTGGAATTGGTGAGTCATATTGTAGTTAATCTTTTTAATTTTTGGAAGCACCTCCATACTGTTTTCCATAGTGGCTATACCAATTTAGATTCCCACCAACATTGCATAAGGGTCCCCTTTTCTCCAAATCCTTGACAATACTTATATCTTGCCTTTCTTATAATAGTCATTCTAACAAGTGTAAGGTGATATCTCATTGTGATTTTGATTTGCATTTCCATGATGTAGCTATTAGCCTTCTTTGGAAAAATGTCTGTTCAGATCTTCTGCCCATTTTAAGCTGGATTGCTGGGGGGATACTATTGAGTTATGTGAGTTCTTTATATATTTCAGATATCAACTCTTTATCAGATATATGACTTGCAAGAATTTTCTCTCATTCAGTACATTGCCTTTTTATTTTGTTGATGGACACACTTCAAAACACTTAGTTTCCTTTACCAGGTTGAGAAACAAACAAACAAAAAAAATTGTAATGAAGCCAAAGCAAAACCACATTTAAAAAGACACTTTTTAGGTTGTCTTTATACTTCATTATAGTATACTCTTTTTTTAAAAATATATATTTTATTGATTTTTATACAGAGTGGAAGGGAGAGAGATAGAGAGTTTGAAACATCAATGAGAGAGAGTCATCGATCAGCTGCCTCTTGCACACCACCTACTGGGGATATGCCTGCAACCAAGGTACATGCCCTTGACCGGAATTGAACCCGGGGCCCTTCAGTCCCCAAGCCGAAGCTCCATCCATTGAGCCAAACCGGTCCCGGCTTCATTATAGTATACTTTAATGAGGCCACAGTAAAACCACATTTAAAAAGACACTTTTTAGGTTGCCTTTTTTTAATATATATATATATATATATATATATATATATATATATATATATATATATATCTTCTAATTCATTTGATTCAATTACTCATTCACCAAATATAATCTAGTGTGTGCCAAGCACTAGAGAGACAGCAATGAACAAATGGTTCCTGGATTTCTGGTTAAATGAGGCAGAGTGACTAAAATGACAGTAGAGGGATTAAAAAAAAAAAAAAAAAAAAAGGGTACAACCAAAAAGGACAAGAGGTTTAAATGAAAGACAAATAAATAGATAGGGATTTTTATTTATTTATATTTTTTTAAATTGATTTCAGAGGGGAAGGAAGAGGGAGAGAGAGAGAGAAACATCAATGATGAGATAGAAGCATTGATAGGCTGCCTCCTGCATGCCCCCTACTGGGGATCAAGCCCACAACCCGGAATCAAATCCAGGACTCTTCAGTCCACAGGCCAAACCGGCTAGGGCAATAAATAGAGGTTTTTTTAAAAGCAAAAAGCAGATGGTGATGTGGTAACCCACTGGACAAACCAGAACAGAGATCTCCTTATCCTCAATACTTCCAGAGAAATAGGCTTAGAAGAATCAGGCACACCCTCCAGATCCTCAGAGTTTTAGATTGAGAAATGCCAATTAAAGTAAGACAGGCATCACAAGCAAATTCATATTCTTTGCCCATAACAGGCCCTTATTACATGTCTAGAGATTCTAATTAGAAAATAAAATTATACACAAAGATCACACCGGATAGAGGCAAGTATACTCCTGCTCTCTTATGAGGTGGGTGGGACTAGAAGTAAAGAGCCACTCAGTTCACTTCAGAAGATAACACATTCCAACTTTATTTCTTTAAAAACAAAACAAAAAGCAACCCCTTTCAGGGGGCAATCTGCTTTAAAATTAAAAAGAATAATAAATAAATTTCTATCACAACAGCAATGTCTACTTTTGGGGAATTGAATTCTATTATTTGTTTGTTTGTTTACCTGTAGGTATAGTAATAGAAAGCTTTGAACAAACTAAGCAAAAGAGAATATGTAACACTCAAGTACAGTAGATAGGGTAGGGGAGGATTTATTTAAAGTTTTTTTTATACAGAGAATATCATTATTGCACTAAAATTTTACTTACTTTCAAGGTATATCTAACTTAAACCCTAGATGCAATAAAACTAAAGAGGAAAATGCTGTGTGAACATTTTAAGTATGAACCATAAGCAGTGTTCTGTTCCATTTCTGATATTTTTCTAATTCCAACTAGAATATTCACCACACACAAAAAAAAAAAAAGCATATCATGATGAGACATTTAGTTCTTCCATGGACATTTTAAAAAATTAGATTATTAACTGTGAGGATTTATTGTACTCATGTTACTTTTCCCCACAAATGCTATGTAGAAACTAAACTAGTGTCAGCAAGGGCTCTGTTTCGAGGGGAATAGTCTACGTGACTTCTGGTGACAATTAGAACTGAAATTCAAGTGGCAAGAAAGGTCAGCATTTAATAGAAAGGAATGTTAATTATAATTAAAAGCTAGAAAAATGTATTTTTTTAAGTGGCTAATAAAAGATTAACCTTCTGGAATAC